GCCGATCCGATGGCAAGAGGGCGGGGCAGAAGAGCTAATCCGACTCACGACGACAGGTCGGAGGCAGATGAATATTATTCGAGGTGACGCGAGTCTGCTTCTTCCTATCATACCCACGAAGGTGGGGCGACAGTCGACGTCCGTTCACTGGTCGGTGAACTCATTTTCACGCCCTTCCGATTTCTCCCTCCCGTGCCATGCACTGCCACCAGATGGGCTTCGAAGCACCGCTGGCCCTGAAGTCAGACCATCTCTCTCCGGCTGTGAGCGTGCAGAAAGGCAGTCGTGAGCGGCGCCTGGACCACGCCCAGACGCCGGAATGTAGGCTAAACGGCTGTGGTCACGCCGTGGCCACGCCTGCCAGCCCCGGCGAACTCACCCCCGCGGCCCCAAGTCCAGTCATCGAGCCATGCAACCGACTGCTGGTGCCCCGATCACGGGGCTCGTGCACCCCATCTGGCCCCCTGGTCAAGCCACTCCGGCTGTCCCGGCGCGTCGTGGCGTGTCGCGCTGACGCGTGTTACGTGCCACCTGCGGCGCCCGACTCAATTCGACTCACTCTGGTTCGAATCTGATTGCGGGATTTATTAGTACAGCTGAGCCTAGCCACTTGCAACACGGTTGACGTGCATTGTGCGATCCCTGTCGATTTAGCGATCTGCGACGAAATTTACGGGCCCATGAGGTGGCACTGCAGCAGGTACAGCTGACCACACTCAATTTTCTTTTTGAACTGAACCATGCTCCCTGCATATTGCTTTAAAGCTATGATGTCTAACGTTCCACAGCTCAGTCGAACGATTCCGTAATCCGGCACATGAAGAGCCTCTGCAAGCAAACGCCCAGCAAGTGTCCCGTATAAGCGTCTACACGTGCCAACAATGCCGAGACCATTTCGTCAGTCCACCAATGTCATGCTTTTACTTCCTCCCCACAACTCGGTGCAAGGGCATTTAAACGGCACTGTCATGTTCTCCCTACGCACACGCTTCACCTTTGTACCATTCCGCGCCACAATTGTTGTAGTTCAACGACAATGTGCCGCTCGGCCCCGGCTGCCATGACAAACACAACGTTCCCATGACAAGTTCAATTTATAAGCTTCCGTATCTACCGGGCCAGTTATGCTGCTGCGTGTCGCTACGGCCTGCTTAGTAAACCTTAAACGCCGTAAGTTTCAAACTGTCGGACCTGCTTACTTGATGCAGCACCACCATTCCAGAGCAAGATGAATAATTGTTTTTCTCTTCTTGTAGCTTGATCTTTTAAAGCATCTCTTCCATTGCAGCAAAGAAATGCCATCTTTGTTTGTTACGCTGACGAATTTGACGTATCCGTATCAAGACTTGCTATCACGAGAAATGCTAGTTAGAGTTACACTGTCTATAGTTACGTCATCTAGAGCTACGCCTAGCTGGAGAGCCGAATCTAGAAACCTCCCCTACGCTCGCCTAGCTTAGAATGTCGCCTTACCCCAAGAGCCGCTGCGTGCTTCACGTGTCGCGAGCTCGTCTGCAGTACTCGTGAACATGGTGAGCAGCATCTTGCATTGGATTGCCTGTCCCCGTCACACACAGAGCCGCGTGGGTGGTGCACGGGACTGGACGTTCCTTTGGATTGCTTCTGGACCTTCCCATGATAGACACCACCGCTTGACCAGCGTACTGAGACAGGTGCGCCTTTGTATCGCCGCTGGGTCAGCCTGTCATGCAGTAGACTAGTGCACTGCAGTGGATACTAGACAGTAGACTCAGTAGGCTGCGTTGAGTGCGGCGGCATTGCCGCTCGAATATCTGATTTCACGCGAGGCAAACACCATTTGGACTTGGTCCCCTGGTCTCTCGGCTGCTCATTGCTTTCACAATCAGTCACGCTTGCAAGCACCACTAGCTCACTGGCTGGAAGATATTAAGAAAAAACGAAAACGGAACCAAACAAGGTGTGGGGAACTTCCCCGGGACCCCTGCGGCACGGGCTTAAGGGGGGGGGGTCTCAGCATGTATGTATGCCAGTAGACAATGTCCGCAGAAACTAGGGGATGGTTGTGGGGAAAGTGTAGGGTGAAAGGTTAGCCCGAGGTGATCTGCATGGGATAGCTGTGCCCTCTATTGTAACGTGCAGTCTAAGCCTGTCACGTCTTGAGGTCGTGAGACGGCATTACGCCAACGCCATTACCGGTCACAGGTGCTCAAGACCCCTGGCTGAACGAAAGGGAAAGTTCGCTGGGCACACGCCCCTAAACTCTGTGCTGATTCGCTTCATCAGCTATTTCGGGAGTGTCCGCTTGTTCTCACGCTTTACGCACTCACTCGCCAAGGTGTCGCGTGCTGACCAATTGTGGCAAACCGGTGCCCTGTGCATTGCGCACGGAGTGGTCACGAACCGTGCCATGACAGGCAACAAGGCGGGTTTTGTAATGGAATGTATGGGTCCGCGCAGTCACTCAGCCAATAATTTGTATGGGGTTGGTAGAGCCAATCTGAACTGGTGTTGTTAGCGGCTGGCTGCGTTTGCCACAGAAGTGAGAGATAGTCACTAAAATGGCCTTTTCGCGCACCAAGATGTTTTTTTGTCCACCTCTATTCTCCCGACTGTGAATATTCTTGGGTCATGCCATACTGTCACCTGTATTTTGAGACGACGGAAAGCGTGCAAGCATTATGCGACAACCGCCTCCGATGTCGCCACGATGTCGATGGGCAAGCTTACTTCCAGGCCGCATTTTCAAACAACGCGCGCAAACATCCGCTGCGCAATGACGCTGAAACTCAAACTCTCAAGCCTGCGGTCGCAAAACGAGGCGCAGTTTCGCTCTGAGGTGACCGCGGTGTCGTGCCGCCATGTCATCGCCGTGACAGACACCGCGGGGCTGGTGTTGTGATCACGTCGTTAGCGATGCGGGGATGTGCCGTAAACATGCGGTCCCGTTTGTTACATCCCGTCCGCAATCGGCCTGATTCGCGATCGAGTTACGTGGAAAGTACCGACTGCATCGGAGCACGGAAAGTACCGACTGCATCCGGGCACGGAAAGTACCGACTGCACCCGAGCACGGAAAGCGTGGTGGGTTCACTTGGCCACGCGTCTCCCGCGGGCCGGTGACAGCGAATTCAGGAGATCACTGCTGGTGGCTGCTGACGAAACAAGCGTGCCCTGGTTTCAGTTGGCGTGCTTTGCAGCTGGGGCCAACTCTCCAATGGGTCACGGTTTGTTGCTGCGGAGCAGGCACCAAGTCGCCAAGAGCACTTGACCTCGACATTCCTGACGTCATTCCACGCTCCGAGCTCCTTTGTGTGCTGCTGAACCGCGGCCCAAGCGGCGCTCCCGTTTCCTTCCGCGCAGTTCCTGGGCAGCTGCGACAGTCGTCCGCAGTGCTGGCGGCATTGGCCACAACGCGGGCCAGCCTCTGTGGCATGATTGGCATATTGCGTTTCCTGCCGGGCCTGACCACGCCGGCCGCCTGTGACCGAGGTGGTAATGTAACTGACCCTGAGCCCCCCCCCCCCCCTCCACCCACCGTGTCAGCCCGCGCCGCCGACCGCAGGGCTGCCGCCGGAGGGAGGCGCTCGCGCACTTCCGCCTGCTCAGTTTGGCGGACCCAGGAGAGCACAAGAGCGTTACCCCCTGGCGCTGTGGTCGCGCCGGACAGACGGAGCGAAGTGCGATGACCGTTTGCGCACTATTCCCGGTCGCCTTGGGGCAAAGCAAGAAAATAAAGGCACGAATCGCAGCAACCGTGAGGAACAACGTCTCTATGCATCCGAAGTCTCAAATATCAGCACGTATACGTGGGCTGAATCCTGCTGTGCCTGTTACGAAGCCGCGCGACATCCCAGCAAATGAAAGGCTGCAGTCAGTGAACGCATGCAGGTTTTGTCTCTTCCCAATTGATCGACATGTTGAAGACCTGCGGCACCACCGCTCGAAAGCGTGCGTCTTATCGGCTTTCCTTGCTGAAGTGGCAGGCGACTGACGCAGAACAGGTCGCTGTTAACGCTCTCCCGAAGCTGGTCGTAGGTACACCGGGCTGGTACTGAGCTTCGGTAAGGGCGCAGAGTAGACTGGCGGACCTGCTGTTTGCGCTCGGTAAGCAGGTTCATCACGCGCGGCTCAACTCCCTGGGTTAATGGGCGCGTGCTGGTTGTCGGGCTGACAGGTTCGAGTTTGAGCGGTGCCTGTATGCTTCTGGGCGACGCCATGTGAATTGATTGCTGGACGAGTGTGAATGCGTTACGTGCCCCGGGTGGAAGCCTCCGACGCGTTATTTTCGTCGTGTCGGGTGTCGTGTGAAAGTTTTGGTGTTCCTAGCGACTTTGGTTTTGCGAAGGGCACAGGGAAGAGGGGTTAGGTGACAATGGATTAAGTTGTAAGCCGCTCTTGTTGGCGACGTTTCGTGACCATAGCTTCCAGATGAGACATTGTCTGGACTTGCGAAGGTGGCATTTGCAGTCTTAAAGCGATACAGAATGATTGACGATGTGAAAAGTAATGCTTTTTAATCGAGGTAAAAACTTCCACCAACGCCAATATCCAGAGCTTTTGTCGGTTCTGAGGTCACATAGCTGAGGCGGGTGGCGCGGCACCTCTGGAAACGGCACAGCTGTGGCTGACCTGCGATCCAGCTGACAGACCAGCTGACCCTGGAACTCAGCTGACCTGGGCACATCAGCTGACCTGGGAACTCAGCTGACCTGGGAACTCAGCTGACCTGGGAAACTCAGCTGACCTGGGAACTCAGCTGACCGGGAACTCAGCTGACCTGGGAGCTCAGCTGACCTGGGAACTCAGCTGACCTGGGAACTCAGCTGACCTGGGACTCAGCTGACCTGGGAACTCAGCTGACCTGGGAACTCAGCTGACCTGGGAACTCAGCTGACCTGGGAACTCAGCTGACCTGGGAACTCAGCTGACCTGGGAACTCAGCTGACCTGGGAACTCAGCTGACCTGGGAACTCAGCTGACCTGGGAACTCAGCTGACCTGCAGACTGAGAGCCGTCCGTCAGCGCGGGCCTACAGCCGGCTCACGCCGTCTGCCGTCCGACGGGGCTGACCCGGCCCGCACCTGCCCTCAGACAAGAACGGCCGACCCAAGATGCCGGACTGCTGCAACGACCGGCGGCAAGCGGACAACCCGCTCTGCTTCCCGATCCAGATCCCCGACAGTGACGAGTTCTACGCCCTGTACGGCCAAAAGTGCATGAACGTCATCCGCTCACTGCCAGGCGTGCACCACATGTGCAAGCTCGGTGAGTCACGGAAGCCCGGCGGTGGGTAAGAGCGGCGCTTGTCGGGCAGGAGGGTCTCTCCTGGCAGGGAGTCGCTCGGTAAGTCACGCAGCATCTCACGGTGTATCATGACGGTTGCCTTTAAACATCGCGAAAAATTGTGAACAAAAGTTGAGAGGAAGGCTGCTCTGAGTAATTTTCTATCACTTCGCGTGGACAAGCACAGACCAGAAAAGCCCACTCCCGCATTTTTTTTCGGGGAAGCACACCTCTGCACCACTGCCACGACCAGTCGTGTTTCAGCTTCACTCCACAGGCTGTGAGGAGTCAGTGATTGCATGGGTAACCCCATCACTAAAGGGCTTTTTCTTACTACACTTCGCCGGTGGTCCTTATGCATTATACACCAAAAGATTAGACTATCATGTAAAGACCGTGAACAGCGAAAACATTTCGCTCCCCCGTTTGTCACGACCTTGCCGAATATAGGCCATCGCGATATTGCCTGGTTTGTTGCTCCTTGATCGTTCCGCGCGCTGTTCTCGTTCCGCTGCCTGTCTGGTGACCTCGATGTCTGCCCCGGGCCGGTTTTTGGTGACCTCCAGGCGCCGTGACGTCACTGTTCCCAATGGGGGCAGCGGGTCGTCAGACGGGGCTGTGCCCCGGCCTTGGCTGGCGAATGATGAGAAATTGCACGGCAGGCGGCAGCCTTGTGCTGCGTTCGACGCGAGAGCGGTCGTGACGATCGGAATACAGGAAGCAATGTCAGATGAGCAGGGTTCATGCCACGGCTCCCAGACATACCTGTGACAGACATACCAGACATGCCAGACATACCTGTGGCATTTCGTAGGCTGAGTGTAACATTTGCGACGGCGGGATGGCCATCGCGGTCGTTTTGTGCCAAGGTATCCAACGGGCCCGAAGACAAAAGCGTAAGTGTTTTGACTCGCAATGATACCTAAACTCACGACCAGCAACGTTTTCGAAGAGTCACAAAGGTGCGTCAAACACGCCCCCTCCCTCCACCCCGAAAACGTTTCGCTGCCGATCGACTGCCGGCCGTCACGACATTGCACCGAAACACTGGCCCACACATAATTTTTAACAGAAAGAATACACCTGCGCCGAAAAATGACCCACCGACTCCCCCACCCGCTTCCCATGCGAGTCAGTCTGCTGGCAAGAGCCCACGACCCCAGGTCGATGACGTCACGGCGCACCGGCAGGCCCACGTGACCCGATCAACCAGGTGACGTCATACCTGGACGCGTCGTTCGTGTACGGCTCGGACCTGGAGACGGAGCGGCGCATGCGCTCGTACCAAGGCGGCCTGCTCAAGACGCTGCCGGTGTTCCGCGAGATCGGCCTCAAGGACCTGCTGCCGCCCAACCTGCACGCGCCCGACGAAGGCTGCATCCGGCCGTCGCGCGACATCTTCTGCTTCGACGCCGGTGAGGGACGCCGCCCGGCCGGTCCAGGGTCGGGCCGCTGGGCGTGATGGTCGTGGCTGGACTAGAAAGTGACTTTGATTGACACTTGGTTAGGGCGCTGCTCTTCGTAATGCATGCATACCCGAGTGGTAAAAGAAGTAACGCAGGGTTATTGGTGTGACGTTCTTCATGTACTTGCTGCTTGCTACTGTTAGCGCTTGGATGTTATTTTTCTGTATGGTGGGTTTGGATGTTATCGACAAAAGATCGCATGCGAGCAACCCTGCATTCTATGTTTTACAATGACAGCGAGAGCAATACGAAATAATTTCCAAACCCTAATTCAAATGAGAACCTTCTTTCAGATCACAGCTGTTTTCAGAGGACGTATACAAAAATAATGTCAAAATCTTCCCAGTAATTTCTCGCAACCGGAATTAAAAATAGTTAAGCGTTTCTTTTAAAGCGCTTTCGTTGAAAGTTTTTTTTTGCTGTTAAGCCGGCTACCATCAGCGCGCACCGTTAAACTAAGCCCGAGGCACATCATGAGAAGCCGACCTAAGCCACACTTTGCGCGACGCCGACGACGCAACCATCATCTGTCCATCGCTCGCCGAAAGCTGACCACACCTTTGCCCGCAGGCGACAACCGGGTCAACGAACAGCTGGTGCTGGCCACCCTGCAGACGTACCTGATGCGCGAGCACAACCGGATTGCCGTCGAGCTCAGCCACCTGAACCCACACTGGGACGACGAGACCATCTACCAGGTGTGTGGCGCCGGTCACCGCGGCGGTCACAGCAGAGCTGCCCGTGCTGGCCCGCGGCCGTGCGACCGCGGCTGTGTGGCGCCGTGGCGTCAGGCGCTGCGGAGGGCGTCAGCGCGCTGACGGAGGCGCCGACCGTGTTCGCAGGAAACGCGCCTGATCATCGGCGCCGTGGTGCAGCAGATCACCTACAACGAGTTCCTGCCCATGGTGCTGGGAAAGGACGTCATGACCAAGGAGAACTTGGTCGTTGGCAGGGTAAGTGCGGGAAAGCGCTCGCATGCGGTGTGTCTGTAGGCCTTGCGGCTGCGGAAGCGGAAGCTGTGGGCCACGTATGGGCGGGGGTGTAATGGCCAAAGGCTACCGCCTTCGGTTCCCACAAGGAGCCCGGGTTCGAACCCCGGTTGAGCCATGGCCCTTGAATGTCAATATGGCCTATACAATTGCTTGCACCCAGTAACATGACGCGTGACATTGTCCGTCGCGTTTCCTTCATCAAAAGTGGTCACGGGTGGGTGGAAGACAGAGCATGTTGAGCTCTTCTCATCTTACGCACGGCAGTAGCGTACTCAGCAAAGCCACAATTCGTTCCATTAACTGGTTGTAGTATCAGTTCCTTTCTTCCATATGTTGTTTGCGAAATATTTTCCTCGTGTATGTGTTTTTGTGCGGCGTCGTGTGGATTTCTGCTTAACATCGCCTGCAAGTCGAAACTGCGACCGAACAAAAAAAAGCCGCAGTCGCCTGCACTAAATGCCTTGAAGGGACTTGGCCTAGCAACAGATCATCTATGAGTTAATTGTACAACAAGGGCCGGTTTCTTCTTCACATCTAAATAGCTCTCATTTAGCTGATCGTTGATTCCCACGCATGTTTGCACCGCTCGTGTTTAAAATGGACGCTCGAGGCCAGTTTAGATACCCGGGTTACAAGAAACTCATTGTTCCATAGACCATCACAATTAAAAACACCACGTTTCCACCCAGCTCCATGACTATGACACAATAGACTCGTATGGAACAGTCCCATTCCAAACTTCCTCCATAGGAAGTCCTGGTCAGCCAAGTCTCTGTGTGTCAGCCTCCGTTAGAGGAGTCTCCGCAGTCAGGAGGCGGTCTGAAGCGTCAGGAGGCTGCGAGGCTCTCCTGATGACGCTCGCCTCTGCCGCAGGGTTCGAAGGGTCACAAGTACAGCCCCACTCTGGACGCCAGCACGTCCAACTCCTTCTCGACGGCGGCCTTCCGGTTCGGCCACTCCCTCCTGCCGTCCACCATCGAGAGGTGGTCCACTTCCGGCAAATATATCGGTGAGACTGGCGAGAAGTGGAGCGTCCAATGGCAGACCGCGTTGGTCTGAAGGCTAGGCTATTACGGCTGTGTTGCGCTACGATGTCCTCTCCCCTCCTTTCCTCTATTCTCTCTCTCTCTCTCTCTCTCTCTCTCTCTCTCTCTCTCTCTCTCTCTCTCTCTCTCTCTCTCTCTCTCTCTCTCTCTCTCTCTCTCTCTCTCTCTCTCTCTCTCTCCGTTTCTCACTCCCTGTCTCTTCTGTCCTCCTTCCTCTGTTCTCTTCTCTTTTCCGGTCGTCCCATCTCCCTCTTGCCTCTCATCTCCTTTGCTCTGCTCTTCCTTTCCTCTCCCTCTTGCTGCTTGCTTTCTTTCTTCATCTCCTCCCTCGCTCGCCTCATCGCCTCCTCATAACCAATGTCGTAATGTCTCTTCACGCTTTCAGTAACGCCGTCGCCGCAAGTATGCAAACACCCGCGTGGTTATGTCCGCTTAACCACAGGTCTCACACGTAAACCACACAGTCAGACACAGGCAGAAGGAACAGATTGAAAACGGCGCATTCTGGAAGGCGTATCCTGCTCGATTCGCTAGCGGAACGTCAATGGCGCTATTGCGTGCACTTGCTAATGCGCCAGGTGGACCGCGCGAGTGACATAACGGTTACTGCACGAAGGTCGCCGGCGCTGCCCGGACCGTGACGGTGGAAGTGCTGTCACAGCGCGTGCTGACGTGCACGGCTTTCGTTCGCGACGATCGTTTGTTATCTTGCAGCCTACCTACCACAGATCGTGTCTCTGACACGACTTATAATTGACTGCCCTATCATTGATCTGACAGGACCGTGTAGTGAGTGAAGGGCAACGGATGAAATGGCCGCCGTTCAAGTCCAGTCACCTAATGACGATTTGAGTTACCATCTGCTAACCCTGGTGGTCTCCTAAATGCCTGAATGGCCCCCTGATGGCCTCATCCTCTTGCCAAAGCCTTGGTCACCTGCCGCCGCTGGCGCGCAGCTCAGTTTGTGATTCTCAAACCGCCGGATCCGCGCGTGCGTCGTGCCTTTCGCTCTACGCCCGGTGCGCATGCGCATGACGGGCCCGTGACCCGAGAATACCCAGCCATCTGCAGTTGGCTGGGACATTTCTTCCACCGAGCTACACAGCCAGTCACTCATGTACTATAACAGGCTGCCGTGTACCGTACGTCATCCGTGCATGACAACTGTGACCCGCTCCTGACCCCCTGACCCCCTGACCCCTGACCGCGACGTCAGACGCCCGCCGGTTGAGCGAGCTGCTCCGTCAACCGTACGACATGTACAAGGGCGGCTTCGTGGACCAGTACACCATGGGCCTCATCAACCAGCTCGCGCAGGCCATGGACGACGCCGTCACGCAGGAGGTGAGTGCCGCGCCGAGGGTGACAGGCGGGTGCGACGTCAGAGGGGGCAGGGCGTCAGGTGACGTCACCAGCAGGACGTAAGAGCAGCGTCGCGAGGCTGTTCCCCGAGCGACGGCGCGTCGCGCGGTTTCACGAGCACGGCTGTATGAACGCGGAGCAGGTCGGGCCGGTTCCAGCCATGGACAAGAACCGGCCTGGCCCCTCGCAAAATGTACCGGCCATTCATCGGGCAGCGCGTGGCGCTGTGGGACCGGCGGGCCTTTTGTCAGGCGGAAGGGAAGCTGACCCGCTCTCTGTGTCACTGATGGAAAACATGGCTCTCAACCCACCCATGGCAAAAACCAAACAGAGCGATGTGGCGCTGCAAGACGTCCGTCGGCTGTTGTGGGGCGAGGTTGCACAAAAACCTGTCGGAATTGTGCCAGCATGCCGGATGCACAATAATTACTGAGTCACGTGTGTGGATGTGATTTGGTGATAATTTTAATTAATTCATGCATAGTTTTGTTTGCGGAATTACCCTGATTCCAAAAAGCTTTCAACCTATTTTATTTCTCGTATTTTGAGTCGAACGAATACGAATGGTAGAAAAATAAACTAACTGAAACCATTTTCAAAGATGGACCAAAGCCCTTGAAGTTACGATTCATGTTGGCGTACGGAGCAGGGCATTATGGAAATGATATATTTTGCGTATTTCCGACTGTTCGGGTCGGATAAAGCCCGTTTGAGACTCAGATAAAAACAGCCGATATGACATATACGATGAACGTTAATAACTTACGTTGCAACCTTAGATATCCCCTAAGAGTAAGAGTCTATCTTTATAATGCATTTAATCACTTCAGTAAACGTTATCGCGATCGCATTCATGTGATGCGTTCAGGCGTTCCACCACCGTTAACTTCGTCGGCCCAGCCCTAGCCCGTGCCACCGTACGTCGACAGGTCACGAACCACCTGTTCCAAATGCCCGAGCACCGGTTCGGAATGGATCTAGCGGCGATCAACATGCAGCGAGGCCGCGAGCACGGCCTGCCCAGCTACAACGGCTTCCGCGAGTTCTGCGGCCTGCCGCGCGTCACCGACTTCTTCGAGCTGAATACCGTCATGAGCAACAACACGGCCTCCGCCTACAGCGACGTTTACGGGTGAGAGGACCTGGCGGGCGGCCTCGACGGTGCGTGTGTGCTGGGTGGCGCGATGGCCGTTCGTGTTCCGGTGCATGAGGACCTGACACGCTAAACGCTGGTGGAGCCGGAACTTCCGACAGGTCTCACCAGCGCGCGTGCTCGCTAATCCACACTCAATTCCATCCCACATTCCATTCCACATTTCACATTCTATGCCAGTTTCCTGCCTTCGGCCGTCTATTTCTACCACCCATCACGGCTGAGAGAACTTGTCAGTGTTCCGCCGCCGTCCAGGTCTAATGATGGTCGCGCTGGCGCCCAATCTGGGCGGCAGGGCAGCACCTGGCAGCCCTTGGTACCGTCCAACAACGCGTACTAGCC